TCTAGCCCAGCACCTTGAGCTGTAGTTACAAACCTCTGCTCTAGGCTCGTCTCATTTCTTAGGGAGTTTAGATTGTTCCGAGATTTCGCAGCTGCCTTTCCATCTTTTTTATGTTCTTCTGCCAGCCACTGGGCTCCCTTTCTTCTAATCTTTTCATTGATCAGAAGGGTTGCATCCCTTCTACAGCTTAGAAAGATTTCCCATTTTCTTTCAACATCATCGGTCGGTTCACCCCGCTGCTTAGCATGTCTGTGTTCCCTAGAGGCTTTCTGACGTTTTTATATGGTTCCCTTAACTTCCTCATCCAACCAACCTTTGGGTTTGTGTCTACTTTTCCGGGGTGACTTGTCACGTGCCTTATCAAGCTCTAGCTCAAACAGTTTAATTAGATTCATGTATGTACACACTGTTTTATTATCCTCAGTGATTACTTTTTCAGTTTGTTTAGGGGCTATTTCAATTCGCCTTTCTGAATAAAATTTTTCCTGTAGTTGCTCATCTTGTCTTCTTCCCACTTTCACTGCTCTTCCAAAACCTAGCTTGATACGTTTGTGATCACTACCCAGACTTCTGGAGCCGCCTTCATGTATGTGCATTCTCTTAAGCTTATCATACATCCTAAGTGACATCAGTGCGTAATCTATTGTCGACTGCGGCCTTCCTACCTCCCATGTTATTTGCCCTTCACACTGCTCGGTACTGTTGTAAATGATCAAATCAAGCCTTTCACACATATTCATGATCATTTTGCCCGTCGGGTTGGTATACCCATCTATATCTTCTATGTGTGCATTCATATCTTCTGGTATAATTATCTCGCACTCTCCTCCTAACTCTTGAATGTCCTTTGATATACACTATAGCATTACGTACCTGGTTTTCCTCTCTGGCCTTTGCTCCCTTCCACAAGTACACGAAACCAAGGAGTTTCATTTGCCCTGCCACTTTCCCTTTTAGCCATAAATGTTCCTTGCACTGCTGCTTGACCCTTTGCCAGTCTGTACTTTTATGAATGAATGCCCCAATACCACCCCCCTTTCTGCTGCCTTCTGCTCTATTACAATATTTCCATGCGTAGTCCGCATTGTTAGGAGGTTGTTCCATGTCCCTGAGATGTGTTTATACAAAACCGTACACCATCGGCCTCTCCTCCCTTAGCTGTTCTTGTATCTCTTCCCACTTCAGCCTGTTCCTACCACGCTGTATGTTAATATACCCTATGTCTGAATTGGCTCGGCACTCATGGCTACGTCTATTTCTGCCCCGGACTCTACCTATCTTTGATACTGGTGCCACTTTGGAATCGTATTTGTCCATACCACCTGTCAAAGAGTCTTCCTGGTTGTTTTCCTCGTTACTAGCTATCCTGCACCCCGAAGGGTCCTCTTGCCCCCCATAAAAGCTACTGCGCGTCCTGCAAGTCGCCAACCCATCTCATGACGTAGCCGCCCATCGAAGTGAATTCTGTCTCGTTGAAACCCGCCCCACCTATGCACCTCTCTGTTTATTTCCACCACCTCAAAGCCTTTCTCTCGACTCATCCGTCATATCTCTTGGTTTGCGTTGACAACCGCTCTTTGCAGGTTGCTGTCACGCACCGGTACCTCCGGTATCGTGCATATAGTGCACGGTTTGAGTATGAAAACGTGGACAACATCCGTCTGGAGTGAGGGGGTCGAAGAGGCATTGTTTAGGGGTGTGATATAGTAGTTCACGTCACTGAGTTGTCGTGATACTTTGTATGGGCCATGGTAGTGTGGTAGTAGCTTCTCTTATAAGCCGACTTGGCGGTTTGGTGTCCAGAGAAGTACCAGAGACCCTAGCGGGAAGTGCACGATTTGGTGGCGACTGTCATAATAATCTTCTTGGTGCTCTTGCGACAAGTGCAGCCGATTATGGGCAAGCGGACGGGCTGCATGGGCTCGAGAAACAACATCGCTTGCGTACTCAGAAGACAAGGGGGCAGCCGAAGGAAGGAGGGTGTCAAATGGTAACGCTGGATATCGGCCAAATATCAAATAAAACGGCGAATGACTGACTGTGTCGTGCCGTGAAGAGTTATACGCAAAGGTAACAAAGGGGAGTGTTTTGTCCCAGTCACGGTGCTCTGGTGAAACGTACATTGACAGTATCTGCGTCAGCGTTCGGTTCAGACGCTCAGTCAATCCGTTTGTCTGTGGATGATAAGCGGTGGTCA